CCTTTCTTTTTTTTCCTACATGGAAATGGAATACGCCGAAATGTCTGCTCCTAGAGGCAGCTGGGGTGAATGACGCAGCAAAACGAAGGACACAGCACGCACAGGAGCACAGACATGGCACAGTTGCAGGTTACATAACACTTGGACATCCACAGGGTCGCTGGGCGCCAAGTGTCTCTTTGCAAACATCAGCCTTTTATACCATCACCCCCCAGTTAAAGGCAGAGAACTATTGTTGCCCTTTTCTACAGAGAAACTGAGGGACCTTTGCAGAAATTTGCCCAAGGTCAATTAGAAAGTCAGTGGCAGGGACAGGAATTCATTGCAGGAGACCTCACTCTGAGTCATTGCCATTGCTATTATTATATTAGAGCGGTGCCCAGAGGCCCTGAACGGGACCATGGTCCCATTGTTTGAGGTGTTTTACCAGTACATATTTCTGCCCTGATGTGGTTACAGGCCATTTGACTACAATGTTTTACCATTCACCATCAATTGAAAGTCACCCTACCTGGCTTTTCCTTTTCACTTTAATCTGAACCATGGGGGGAAACCCGCCCCCCCACAATAGCCGTGTACTTACTACGTAAAGGACATCTCGTGCACCTACATTAATGTTCATTTTGTCCCACTTTGCTGAGGTAATTGAAGTTTACGTGTGTCCTGTGTGTCTGTTACTAGGAGAGGATCAAGAAGACAGAAAAGGATAAATCCAAAGTGATAGTCGTGGAAATAAACTACAGCTCCAGTAGCAACTTGCAGTCTTTGGATTTCAGACTCCTGAGGGCCAAACCTTGTTCCTTGTTTGAACCCCTGGGACTGCAATAGGAAAAAGGATTTAGCACTAATTAAAAGTAAATCAGAACAGCAAGAGGTGTGGATTCCTGGCAGAAAGAGAAGCACCTCACGCGTTAGCCCGACTCCGTGGCACGTGTACCTCACCCTGTCCGACACTCAATAGTGGTGTCGAGGTTTAGCTGAGGGTGCTGCAGCTTTGGCTTGATACGCGCTGTCCCAGTACGAAGCTTTCTCAAGGCATTCTTCTAACCAGGCTTCCTGGTCCTTCTGCACTATGAGTGGCTTAGAAATACAGCACAGCTGTCGTACAGACACAAATGGCTTCATGTCAGTCCACCGCTGACATACACCTTCCCCTCACCTGTGCTGCCAAGTAAATCGTTAAAGGCTTCCTGCAACAATGAGTGGCACAGCATACAATGAATCCCTTAGAGAAATGGGGCCAATCAACCAGGGGGTGTAAACTGACACGGGCCCATTGATTACGCCAGATGATCTCCTGCCCTGTTTCTAGTGTTCACAAACCACTTAAGGGCAAACAAGACCCGGTCCGTTCCGCAGTCCCAAGCTATACAGCAGGAAATGTATGTAAGGACTCCTTCACCCATGTGCACGAATCGTTCGAGCCAAGCCATCTGCCTTCCTCAACCATTTGCCTTTGAGGGAAGTTTGGCCTCATCTTCATTTGCCAGAAGGATAAAAATTGTATATTGTTATTACCTGCAGTTGATGTGCCTTGAGACAGGTACGTTGGGCGCATGACTTACCCAATACACTCAAGCCCCAAGACTTTGACAGTATTAGAAAATAACGACTAGTTTTTCCTTGCTAGCTACAAAGTTAATTAAGAGGTCTGTTCCTGCCAGGGGTCCATCCATGCCAACTGGGGCTCCATGCAAAGCAAAACCAGGGGTTAAGGGTGTAACTGGGAAGCCTTGGGTGAGAACTGAGCAGCCAGGGTCCCTCCCTACCGTACGCAAGAGCACACTGGCAGATCCACCCAGCTAACAAGCTGTAGCATGCACCAGGCCCCGAAGGTGGGGCATGGAAAAAGGGCATGGCTAGCTCCCAAGCCAACACATGGGTATGCTGCCCTCAGCACAGCCAAGAGCCCAGCCCTGCTGCCATTGACACGAAAGGGAGCTTTGCCATTGATTTCCCACAGCAACACCGTCAGTGCCCCAAACGACCAATTACAAATTGGCCAGGGAGTTTTGCCCACTGGCACTCTATGGGTGGTCTCAGATATGAAAAGCCGCAGTGCCTTGCACCAAGGCTGGGGAACAGCTCGTACAGGATTTGCTCGGTCAGTCTGAGGCATGCACATGCCAGGATTTTTTGTGAACACTGGACTCTTGTCTCTTCCCTCTCAGGCAAGCTGTGAGAGCATAGGCGCCGTCATTCTCAATTATGAATTTCGAAGCACAGGGCGAAGAAGCCTACTTCTAATCAGAAAGGTAATCAGGGCCCTTGCTGTATTCCAATAAGCCTTAAAAGGTCCCTGGCAAAAGGACTCGTTTAAAAGTTGGGGTTATGCCCCATTTTTGTGCCTTAATGATTAGCAAAAGGCTCAAGGGGTTGTGGACTCCCCCTTCGTTTGCCTTAGAAACATCACAAATGGAAATTCTGGCCTTCCTTGCTTTTGCTGAAGGGCTTCCAGAGTGCCTCAGTGTTGTGACTAATGGATGAGGCAGTGGGCAATGACTCTTCACACAGACAACCTGTCTCTCTCAGGTGGTCGAGGCCCAGACACAGCTTTTCTGGGGGAGGGAAATCACCGCGGGGATCCCTGCCAAGATACCAACCCACTTCATCCCGGCGACCGTGTGCAATTTGCCTTCTGTGGAAAAGACCACAAGATCTGTCCCAGACTTGGTTAAACCCCAGGAACTTGTGGGAGTTTAAAACCATCTGCTCAGAGGCCTGGTGCAGCGCACCTCCCACTGACAGGCCCCCACCCTCGGTTGCCTGGCTCCATTAAGCATCCACTGGCCATCGCTATTCCTGGAGCCCCAGGAGATTGAGAAACAAGGCTCCAGGCTGTATTAAAGCCATTTAGACAGACTAGGGAAAAACATACCCAGGCTCTACCTACGTGCGCAGCCCCAGCAGGCCTATCTATATCCAATCTCTCCCTCTTCCCACTGCGTAGACCGCAGAAAGGATGATGCTGGGTCTAGGTCTGGAGAAGGCTGTGCGAAATACTCCAACAGGACAGAAGAGGGAAAGCCCCACTCAAAAGATGCCTTCGCTAGCCTGTAGGGCTCAAGAGGCCTTGAGACAGCCTGAACAATGAGTTGGAAACAACTGACTCTGTCTCTCCTCCCCTCTCGGTTGCTCAGGTTTTACACCATCGCCTCTGCTTACAATAGCACCTATTGTCAGAGACCTTTGTGAGCATAGACGGGAGCAGAATTTCTAATGTACGTTTCTAGATACAAGGAAAAAAAAAAAAAATCAAATGAGTAGACACAAAAGCAGCATGTTTTCCCTTGCACAGTACTCTTCAAAAAAGTAAAAAACTCAGTTCCCCCAAAAATCAAGCTCTGCCCCCCCATCCTCCAGCCTCGCAATAGAAAAATAATGGGCAAGGTGGTTCCCTTTGGCCATGGATTACAATGAGGTTGTAAAGGGGCAGCCTTTACAACAATTGGGTAAAGGACTCAATTGTGCACCTTCTTGGATTAGGATGCATGTCGCTCACTATTTCCACATGCCATCGACTGTTGTGTTGGAGTGCCTGAAATAATATGGACTGAATATTTAAAACCACAGGAGGCAAACCCTTATCTTCCACAGGAAAATAATTATTTTATTAAGTATTTTAAAACAACTACTTAACATTTACTCAAGATAAAAATATGTACAATATCCCACCTTCAGAAAGGCTCCAAAATATAAACACTGTACCTCTCCCCAGGGAAAAAAACCCCAAAACCTAACTCTTCTCTTCAAAAATATCCCCAAAACAAAAAAAAACAAAACAAAACACAGAAATACATTCATAGTTCTCACGTCTTTATGCTCAAGTAGTTATACAAATAATAGACATCTGAAACGTATTACCCTTTAATATATTTATATAATATATATTTTATATATACATATATATTTATAACAGGATTTTACAAATAAAGGCAACAACTGTATACCAAAAAAAAAATCCAATAAAATAAACATTAGAACACAATCTGCAATCAAGCATAGTGCATCTCAACAGCTGGTGCAATGGTAGAATGAAATGAGAAACCAAACAACGTTTACCTCTGGACACAATTTCTCCAAACTAGTATGGGGGAAAAAAAACATCACTGCTTTTTTTGTTGTGTTTTTTTAAAGCCAAATCCAACACAGTATTTATACAAAAAGAAACTTCTTTTTCTATGGTGCCGAGTCCCTCTTGGTTCTAGGAGCTGTAAACGGGGAATGTGACAAAGTTCTAACCAACTTTACTTAATCATTTTGGCCAGGGATTACCAAGAAGCCTAAGGGATTTAGATGCCCAAACCTCACTGGGATTAGGCTCCTTTGAAAAAAAAACCTAGCCTTGAATTTTTCAAAGGCACTCAAGGGAGAAAAGTCAGTGGGTTTATCTCTGGGGACCTCCACTAAATTCTTTCCTCCCATAAGAACTCTGGATTTGACCCAAGTTGTGAAACAGCCAGTTGCTGGCTATTCCCCAGCTAAAGTGATTCTTTAACCATTTTGATTTCAGATATAGCAGACCCAGAAACAACTGTACAGCAGCAGTAGAAGAAAGGTCTACGGTCAGGTGCAACGAGCAGAGAGATCCATGGGATATTTTCTCCATCCCTCCTGCCCAAACTAGCAGCTTGAGTTATAGGAAGGGCTGCGTGTTATTTTATTACTTAGATGTGCACCACATAAAGCTTCCAAGCAGCATCTACATTTTTTTCTTCTTAAACATTCAGCAAAGGTGTGGAGACAAACCCGTCTTAAATCTACCTGAACCACTGACTGTGCATTACCAACCAGTGATTGCTACTCTGATTTTTTTTTTTTAAAGTGGAATTAACACCAATGCTTAAAGTGTGTGTGTGTGTGTGTGTGTGTGTGTGTGTG